GAAGAGAGAGATTCAATCCTCGTGTGAAGGGCCATAAGAAGTCATGGATAGGATTAATGACTTCGTATACCGTATCAGAAAATTGACAAAAAGAAAACCGAGGGTCGTCCATTTCAACCCTTTGAGCCCCTACCAAGGCGAAATAAAAGATCGTGCTGGGACCGTGAGAACCTGCAGCTTTGATCCCCATGATTCGGAGATGTCTTTTGACGATTTCATGGCCCGATACAACAGCAGTGAGAAGGCTCGCTATGGCGTAACCAAAGAAGATCAACGAGACCACTTTTCCGTGCCTCCTGATTATTCGTTCGCTCATTGTGTGGCTCAAGATTTGCGGATGTCCAGAGGAATCGCTGCGAAGTTCAATGAGAAGTTTGGCGTGTCGGAGAACTACGCCGACAGGATTCAGAGGTTGGAAGCGTCTTGAGGCTAACCGACAATGCACATTGTCAAGCAAGGCACATCTCTACCTGGTCACCAAGGAATGGTCCCCGAGTAAGCCGACTTATCTCAATCTATGGAAGACCCTGATTGAACTGAGAGAATCCCTGCTAAACAACAACATTGCACGATTAGCCATTTCGAAGCTGGCGTGTGGACTCGATGGTTTGAGTTGGCGTACAATCCGGAACATGATTGGAAGTCTTGTTCAGATTTACTCTCTGTATATGTATATCCTCCTTTGCTGCTACAACCCAAAGCTGGGATCGGGAGAGAAAACTGTAGACTGCTATTTCTCCCAGACTTCGCAATGTACCAAGGGCCAGCTTTGGGCAAATACCCTGCCATTCACCGTGTATATCTCGGGACGAGCATGTGCCTAAGAAGGGGGCAGTGCTGAGGGCCCGTGTGGTGGACTCGACCTAAACTCACAATATGGCCCGCCCTCGGATGACCTTAACATCGCATAGAAACCGCAATGATTCATTCGTTCGAGAAGAATCGAGCTCTACTGGAATGGAGTAGTATATACGAGAACAATCGAAAACCTTCTCTACGCAACTAACGATCTATGGACAAATCTAGAGTTCTTTACTTGTCGGTATAAAAAGAGGCGCGCGTGGCTTATCAGGGGGCAGTTTTTTTTTTAATAAAAATTATATTTAATTTATAAATACGAATTGTTGTATATGTTCAAAATAAATTCGTAATTATAAATCGTTTGTAAATAGTCTATTAAGTCTTTTTTATCGTTATTGTTTGTTAATTAGTGTTAAATAAAATAGTGTTTAAATAAATTTTTTTCTTTAAATTAATAATCCACACGGAACCGACGAAAAACGTAACACGTATTTAAATTTAATTTCTAAAGAAGTTCGTGATTGCTTAGTTTTATTTAATTTTTTAAGAATGATTCCTTAAATGGGTAATAAATTTTAACGATTTCAAACTTCAAAAAAGGTATTATAAAAAACACATATCAAAACAATCGTATTTATTGCATATTTTGTTGTCCATATTTCAATACACTTTAATTTTTGTATAAGTTCACCTGCGTCTGCTTGCGACGAACTTTATTTTTATAATACTTTT